CAAAAGTAATAACTATTATTTTTTTTATTGTAAATACTACAAGTTGTTACTAAATGTAAAAAGAAATGTAGGTAAGTAAACTTCTAATTATTACTTTTGTAAGTACTAGAGGTTACTAATTGATAAAAATTTAGTAAAGTAAGAGTTACCTTCTAATTATTACTTTTCTAGAATTTGTACATAAGTATTACAGGTTGCTATTTAGTATAAACTTAAAAGAGTATTTAATAATTAGAAAATACACGGAACTTTTCCCCTACGAAAATTTTCCTTTCAATTAGCACATTATCAATTAATTTAATCAATTAACCCTTTTTAAAGTGTTGTTTGTAATATGCGTGTTCTATATTGCGTTTTTTACAAAACTATAGACTAATAAAAAAATACAGAACAGAAAAAGTTTAAATTTAACATAGTGCCGTTGGATGCGTAAAAAAACCATCAATTTATTTAAATGTAGGTGTAAGTATGCATGTACAAAATTATTTTCTTACCCATGTTATAGTAGATACATGTATTTGTTTTGGAATGAGGAGTGTAAATGTTATAAACAAATATTTAACTTAACATATATAAGTGCGTTATATAATTTTATTTAAAAAACATATTTCTTATCCTGTTAGGCCTCAAAAAAACCCAAAACAAATGAGAAAACGTCGTAATGTTAATAATTTGGATTATTTACCTGAATATCAGTTCGAATTTACATCTAAACAATTTAAATTAACAAGGAGAAAAAATGGAAATCAATTATGTTTAATCACATAAACATCTATGGAAACTACATACATAATTTTTATGAACGAAAAAGTATTAAAACAAGTACTGAAAACTATAATATATTATTAAGTTGTATCAAAAATATAGGTAACTAGTGGAAAATTATGATATATTAAGAAAATGTATTAAGTTGATTTTATTAATTTAACAATTAATTAATGAGAAAACTCCAAAACTAACTATTATCGAAATGTTGTATGGTCAAAGAAAGGAAAATAGATTACTGTAGCCATTTTAACTTAATTATTTTAAAACGTAAATGACAAAAAAAAGTTAAAAATAATTTCCTAAGTTTAATGTAACTATCTANGTCGAAAAGTGCAAAACATCCACCCAGCATTAAGCCTATTATTTGTTGTACTTAGAAAATTATTATAATAATTATATGGTACTGTATTGCACAAAATGATATATCATTTTCAAAATAATCATTAAATCGGCTTTAATTAGTTATGAAATAATAAATCAAAATGTCCGACACTGCGATACTCCAGGATATTTAATGTATGACTAATTTTAATAAAACAATTGTTTCCTTTATATTTTAAAAGCAAATTTCAGTTTGATCTCAATACAACTCAAATTCGTAAAAGGAAATAAACAAATAAAAATAAAGTATTGAGAATAAAAATCCAATCTGAAAGACTCACCGATGGATAGTTATCACGGTCAATTTTCTATAGATAGATATACGTGTACATAACTTTATCCTGGCTTGGTCTAAGGACATCACCTTTTCACTTGATAACAATTCGATTGTTGTTTTCATAACACTTCAAGTATTTACACCATACATAAAGGTAAGTGTGAAAGAAATTAAACGAATTTATCGGTGAAACTATAATAATAAATCTATAGTAAGTATAAGAATCTTGCCCTAATATAGCAAAAGTTCAAGTAAAATTAAGAAGAAAGTTATTAAAACAAGTAACTGCAATTACTGATTTGATCCGATATACCTATAGAGATATAAAACGTAATAATTTATTACAACCAATAACAGTGAAGATAAAGAAAAGTGTATATATTTGTATCCAAAACATTGTAGAATAATAATTTTCAAAGTGTTTCATTTCTTCCCCTTAGTGTTAATGAAAGTAATCAGAATTGATTAGGGGCGTAAAAAGATTTGTTGAAATAATATTGAAGTTTCTGATTACTTTCAATAATTTTTAATGTTTTGACCAGCGAAAATACAGTACGCAGAATTAAGAAACTCACAGGTGACGTAGAATCCCAAATTAGTCCATGTGACTGCTAACCAATGGTGAATGAAGGACATCATGACGACTGTGATCCTGGTTCTCCTCCTGCGAAGCATCCGTGGATGGAGTCGCTGATCCAGGGTCTCTCCAACCGTTGTCGTTGTCATCCCCATCAATGAAGATATTAGCCCCTGTAATAGCATGAAATGTTATTTTAAATATTCTTTTACTCACCTGTATTTGCAAGTTACAAGTCATCAAAATTATTATTTTAAAATTATTACTAAATGCACATAATCAAAAAAATCAAACCTATCTATTATCTAAATGTTGTGTAGTAAAAGAAAATTAACTATAAAAAGGAAATTAGATTGCTATGATCATTTTGAAATAATTTCAAAAAGTAAATGACAAAAACAATTAAAAACAATTTCCTAAATTCAATGTAACTATGTAAAAAAGTTAAGAAGGGAATCTATTAATTTGATGCCACTAATGTAATTTAAATGGCCATAACTAATAACAACAATTAACAATTACAAACAGTGAAAGAATATTATAAAATGGAATAAGTAAAGGCTAAGTTAAATCAAACCACTCACTTTAAAATAAAAAAGATTAATTAAATGCCACAAACATAAAGGTAAGTGTGAAAGAAATTAAACGAATTTATCGGTGAAACTATAATAATAAATCTATAGTAAGTATAAGAATCTTGCCCTAATATAGCAAAAGTTCAAGTAAAATTAAGAAGAAAGTTATTAAAACAAGTAACTGCAATTACTGATTTGATCCGATATACCTATAGAGATATAAAACGTAATAATTTATTACAACCAATAACAGTGAAGATAAAGAAAAGTGTATATATTTGTATCCAAAACATTGTAGAATAATAATTTTCAAAGTGTTTCATTTCTTCCCCTTAGTGTTAATGAAAGTAATCAGAATTGATTAGGGGCGTAAAAAGATTTGTTGAAATAATATTGAAGTTTCTGATTACTTTCAATAATTTTTAATGTTTTGACCAGCGAAAATACAGTACGCAGAATTAAGAAACTCACAGGTGACGTAGAATCCCAAATTAGTCCATGTGACTGCTAACCAATGGTGAATGAAGGACATCATGACGACTGCGATCCTGGTTCTCGTCCTGCGAAGCATCCGTGGATGGAGTCGCTGATCCAGGGTCTCTCCAACCGTTGTCGTTGTCATCCCCATCCATGAAGATATTAGCCCCTGTAATAGCATGAAATGTTATTTTAAATGAAGGGTTTACAATAGTTGGGAGTACCCACCTACGTCGTTGGGCTGGAATGGAGTTGTGCAGTTTCCATCATATTGACTAAGAAGAATGGACAATTTATTTTTAATATGACCCAATGTATGCTCTTTCTGACTTTTAAAACGGATTTGAATAAAATAACCAAAAGGACTTACCACAATAACCTTAACAATTTAAAACCTGCAGTTACTGGGGTCAGTTCTTTTGCTTATTTTATTATTTTCATGCCGCAGTCTTCTTTTTTATATATTGAACGGATTTGAAATTACACATTAAATACACCAGCTACCGGGTCGCAAATTGCACATGTTGTTAGGAAACCGAAGGAACTTTAAATATTTAAGGCCATTTCTGCCACTGTTGCAAACTTTACCATGGAAATTCAATTAAGGCATTCTATGAAACAATATAATATTCAGTATGTTTCAAAATAGATTTCTAATTAAACCTTCAATAGACGAGCAAGGGCGTCGCAGAGTGAAGTAAATGTTTTCATCATATCGAAGAAAATTCAAATTTTCGCGGGCATTTTGGACGCTGTTTCATAATTTATTTTTAAAATTCAATCAAGTGTTCCATGCATCATGATATGGTGTTTCTGATATTTAAAAGGTATTAAAAATTAACCTTAAATAGATGAGAGAGAGCGTCGCAAAGTGACGTGTGTTTTTGAAATTCACCAATGCGTTCCATAAATCACATCAGATTTTTTCCGAAATTTACAACGGATTCAAAATTGAACTATAGACCAGATATGGCGTCGTAAAGTTTCGTGGATCTTTATCATATCGAAGAAAATATAAATATTCGCGAGCATGTTTGATGCTATTACAAGCTTAATTTTTAAAATTCAACTAGCGCTTTCTATGGAGCAAGGTATGCTCTTTCTGACTTTCAAAAGAAATTTGAAATTAAACGTTAAATAAACGAGCTAGGGCGACGTTTAGTAACGTACGTCTGGTTTTATGATATCCAACAAAATTTAAATTTTCGCGGGCATTTTTGACGTTGTTACAAAATTTATTTTGGCAATCCAATCAAGGTATTCCATGCATTAAGATGTGCTGTATCTGAATTTAAAGGCGGATTTAAAATTAAACATCAAATAGACGAAGGAGCGCTTTAACGCTCTGTGGAAGAAATAATTAAAATTCGAGTTCGTCGCTTGATCTAACGTTGAAGTCTCTCGGCTTTTCTTACTATAACTTCGAAAATAGAGTTCATCTCAAATTTTTTTTAGACAAAAGTTACTTTACCATTAAAAACCTAGCCTATGAAGTAATTTTTGGTACCTCAGAATAGCTCTTTAATGATATAAGGTTACTTAAATGCTTGTTATTTCAAGACTACACCTAGACACCTTTCATAAAGGTATTGACTCGTTGTGAAATAACTAAATGAAAATCTGCATATCTCTTTATGTTTATGAAAACATGAAATCATTGTTGAATTAGGAATTTCTAATTATAAATAAGCAAACAAATTTATCTTATACAACAAAATAAAATTAGTACTATCCACCAAAATGCTTGTATTTACTTTAAAATATGTGGCTGACAGAATATTTTACAACGACTAAACCATTTACTTGGGTTGCAGTTCGAATAATTTGAAAAGAAATAATTACAATTCAGGTTCGTCGCTTGATCTAACGTTGAAGTCTCCGAGGTTTTTTCGTTCTAGCNCTTATATAAAAAGTACATGAAGTGGATTTTGAAATACATTGGATTAGTTAGTTAAGAGGAAGTTAAAATGTGAAAACAAGCTGAAGCAAACAAGGAAAACAGGAGTTAAATATAAGATGAAATTAGAAAAGTTGAAGGAGAGAGATATAGGAAAAGATAATCTTAAAAATTGGTATAAAAAAAAGATACGATAAAGAAAAAGAACAAGCTTTAAGGGAGCTAAAGTTGAACCAGGCGTTAAATGAATGAATGGGGATGGACAAGTGTACAGGAAAATTGGTAAAAACAAGATGTGAGGAGATAATATAGAGGGATTATCTCCGACAAAAATTAACAAGTTGAAGTATGTGGACTACATGAAAGCTTTGCTACGGGAGCGTTGGTAGGGTGAGTGAGTAAGAGGCATGGAAGAAAAATTTGGACGTAACAAAAAGATTTAGGGTAGGAAAAGAAGTTAGCGTATGTAAATATTGGATGAAAAGGGAGGAAAGGATATGTAGAATATGAAAGATGTGACGAAATTTTAATGCATGTGCTGTGGGATGCGATGAGAGGAAGAATTGGATAAATACAAGGGAATAATAAAAGAATGTAGAGGGAGATCGATCTTATTAAGAAAAATTTTAAAAGTAGAAAGAGATGTGGAACTGAACTAAGTCAAATACTCATCTGATAATTTATCATTAAATTGAGGGTAGATGGTAAAGGTCCGATGATCCTGAAAGACAGACTAAAGAAAAGAAAACGGAAGCAGATGGGGGTTAATTAAAGATAGGTAGGATGTGATAAAACATTAACAGCTCGTGTTAGATAGAAGAGGCATATAATAAATAGTTATTAGAGTTAGCAACTTTGCCGGGTACCGAATAACTGGTTAACCGGCATCAATTGTACCCAGCTCCTGGTTAAACCACTACGGTTAATAGTTCATGTATTCCTTCTACGGGGCTTTCTATTAAATACTACCTTCACTAACTTCCCTAACTGCAAAAAGTCTAAAAAACACTAAACCAATGGAATTTTAATTCTTGCTTGGCGAATTTTCAACAAGAGAATTGAGTTTAAACGTTTGAATATATAAGCCTATAATGTTTATAAATATTAAAAGTCTGTAAGATGAGAAAATCATACAGGGTAATAAGTTATCCTTAATTAAAGCCTGGTATACCAAGAAGCAATAGATACTGCAACAGAGATAATCACAGTTGAGGGTGTCGTTAGTAAATTAAACAAAACGATGGGCTAATGTAGTTACATTTATTAAGCTTTCAAATTTTCGCTTATATTTTTGGCTTCAACAGGAGATCAATGTTGTAATTAATATTAGAAAGGCATAACTAAATTAAATCTAAACGCACGAGGAGATAAATAATTATATAAAATAACATTTAAACCATCATAAAATTAACAAAATAATGTGTGCCAAATAAGCGGTGACAAGATTTTTTATTTTAAAGAACAACCAACATTTCGTCTCAAATTAGAGTTTATCAAGGTATTTTTAAAAGTTACTGATACTTAATGCATTAACCAACCGTAAATGCACGCCACAAAAAAACAACTCACAAACACAAGTAAAGATAAAATAATAAACCATTGAAATAATTAAAAACTTGAATAAATAAATATAAAATAGTTAAAAAACGTTAACAGCTAATAGTTACACAGCAGAACACATAATCATAAAAGTAACCATGGTAAAAANCTTCAACAAGTGGGCATTAATGTAATTAACATTTACTTCTTCCTTTTTTCGTATTTCTCAAGTAATTTTACCATCTTAAAAATGTTAAAAATTTATTGTTTATAATTGATGTTTAATTGTAGCTGCTATTTTGTTTTAATACTAATTTTTAACGGCTTATTCGCTCAAATCAATTCCAAGCAAATTTCAACTCATACAACGTCTTTATGTAATTTTAAAACAAAATATCGTAAAACGAAATTGTTTAAAATGGCTCGTTTGTGTGTTTTCCAAATGATTCTTAGTATCCATATGTACCTATAATATATATAATATATAATCCATGTATATATTCATGACGAAGAAAGAAGTAAAAAATGCTTTAAATTACAACATATGAACTCTATATTTATTGAAATTTCGGAACCTATTGTTTACGACAGACAACTAGACCAGACATATTGTAAAAATAAAACGCTAGTTTAAACAATTAATTAATATCATCGAATTTAATAATTTCATGGTATTCAACACGTTGTTTAAAACTTGAGTCATTTTTCCATATACGTCAGTAATCGTGACGTTAGTTACAGTTATTTTATGTGAACTAAAAGTTCTAGAACCAACTATAATTTCTAATAGACAGAATTAGAAAAGGTATGAAATTAAATTGAGTTTAAGGGGGTTGACACCATACATAGAAAAATAACACATATTTCGATGGAGCTTTGAAAGTAACAAAACATTTACACTTGAAACATCCTTGGAAAATTTTATATTCATCAGAATAGGTTGAAAGAAATACAATAAGCTAATCAACATGTACTAATTATGAAAACTGCTAATTTAGATACATAACAGGACTTGACAAATTGATGTGACAGAGTTTCATATCTGCAGATTTTTACACCAATCTGTTTTAACACTCCTGGTCCCTTCGGCTTTATGGGCCCAGCATGAAAAAAGGTTGAGTATATAAAAAATGAGTGAGTGCAAGTAAGAAAGGGATATGCACGAATATAATGTCGTATATAGGAAATTGACAGTAAAACTTTCTGTTGAAATATTTTTTAAAGTTGACATTATTATAAGAACGGAAAATTGTATAGTTTACGTAGTAATAAGGTTCACCTAATTATGTGACTAACTAATAATAAAGGTAAATAAACTTCGGAAACTTTTCAATTCACAAGCCGTACAACAATTTTAAAAATGTATATGATACGTTAAAACCAAAATTAAAAAAAAAATCGTTGTCAAAAAGTGCAAAACATCCACCCACTATTAAGCCTACGCGCTGCCTGTAAGTTAAACGCCGATATCCCGTATTTCAGTACACCGCGTCATGCCGGAACATGTCGAGATGTATTGAGAGTACGAGAAAGCGACGTGTTAACTATACAGGAAGAACGAAGTATTAATCGTAGGCTAGTAATATAGGCCGGGCCACCGGCAGCTTCCCAGCTGCATACCCCGCTATTTGCACAGTTAAGGCGCCCTCCGTGTGCAGCGGGTATACTACAGCCAGCATCTCGCATACCGTATTACTACTTGCCTGTGTCATGCCTGAGCGAAGTATATGTATCTGTTTTCTTGCTTGAATC